ACTAACCTAACGGGAGAAAGTTAAATTTTAAACCAGTTGTGTCTAAATTGGAAGTCAATAGTGGTAAATAAGTGAGATGTCAAAAAAAAGAGGTTTGCCTTCTAGTAGGTAATAGGTAGTCGTGCTCGAGAACGGAGCTCTGCGACGTGTTTCTATTCTGCAAAATAGCTAGTGGTTAATCCACCATGTGGCTTTAGGTGTTTCAAACTACAATCATATCTTCTCGGTCAATTTCTCATGTCAATGCGCGTGGTGGCGTGATTTGAGCAAGACACATCCTCAGCAAGTAAATACTGATGTGTGCATTCAGACAGGAAACCACGCTCAATGGCGCGAGAATGCGATATTTGATCTTCCTGCCTAGAATGAAATTAATGCTTGTGCCTCTTTCCACAATGGTCATTAAAATGTTATTACGCTAATAATCAAGCGTGGGTTGGGATGATAAACCATCTCCAATTCATGATTGCCAAAAACAAAAAACCAAAACCAAGTGGCACCACAGTACTTGCTAAAGTAAGGCGAAAACAATTGCGCAGACAACTAACTTCCACACTCACGCGATTACTTCAACGCGTGCACCCTTCTACATGATCCGCTAATCTGAAAACTCAGATATTTCTACGTTTATTAGTTACCAAACAGAATATTTTTCTGGTAGAAAAACCTCCCTGTAGTTAAGTGGTGTTTTGAAAAAAAATTACAAGAGCGTTGCAATGTCTGGGGTCAAATTGTTTTTCACTAAGATGCCTTTTGCGTTACCAATCCTTTCTACAGCTCCAATTAGACAGGTGACTGCAAAACTGCCCCCAGTCAATCAGTAACCCGATGAAAACTTTTCTGACCTGTTAATAGCGGCAGCGTGACTTGCCATTTACTTGGCTTGGCAGAACACTTAAACTCTCCTTATTGACGTGTGACATATTTCGGTTTAAGCAACATCTACTGACAACTGAACCTTCTGAAGTAATCCCTTGTCAATGGAAATGTGATCCCAATTTTGCGACCTTTGGGTGTCTGCCGATTGTGGAAATCGTCGCTTGAGCATTTCGATATGAAAGCAAACGGTGGTGTGATTATTGAGAGACACTTTTCACTCAAGCATTTTGGTGATGTAAAAGGTGAAAAAGGAAACCCCGTTCACCCTCGAGACATGAGATGCAACGCTAAATAAACACAATAAGTACGCCTCTATCTCCTGCGACGGATTTGCGCCACATCGATTGGACAATGCAGATTTCCATCTCTGGGTAAATCCTAGTCATACACTACCTCTGTCTGCTGACTCTCATAAAGAATGGCCTTATCGCTGTTCTGTCTCAACAGGAACGTGCGGATCTATTGGGAATATCCGAAGGCATTTATAAGGACATCAAACCATCTGCAAATATCGTGAATCCTCTGTTGAGCTTCCAAAGTCAATTTGATTGGGTGTCACCTCACTAATTTAGGACGTAATTCTTATACATTTCATTGCATGCTACCACTAGTCCTAACCGATGCTTTCGAGGTCAGGGCTTTTCGTTATGAATATTGGTTTTTTCGTTATTTTTATATCGTTTAATAAGTATTGTGGTGAACTGGTTGCGATATCGGTTAACGTTGATAAGTTCCGATATATTCTTGGGAACTGACACGAAATTGAGTAACTATCATTTCTGAGATGCCGTGCGTCTTGGATCCAACCTCCATTCCATTTTAAGTGTCAAGATCATCTGCATACGTTTTCCCCACCAAAATGACAATTCGACTCGTGACGACAAGTAGTGAGGAAAAGAGTTCAAATTTGTGTTTAAAAACGTAATTATGCGATCACTTTTTTAAGACACTGTCTGAATACGGCAAATTAAGCAAAAATGTTTGTTGCAAATAGTCAAGCGTGGTTTGAAATGCTCAACCACCTGAAAGTCATGTTTACCATAAGCTAATTGAGCATTCTCATCACGTGAAACAACCCTGTTTGACAAAAGAAGACAAAAACAAATGTTCGGAAAACCTGCTTGCACACTCATGCCATTACCTCCATCAGTACAACCATTTGCATGATCTCTGCACTACTCAGTCCACTCACCGGGCTCCTCAGCCATTTGTACTTTTATTAGTTTACACCTCTGTCCATTTTAAACAGCTATAAAAACCAGCTGAATATCTGGCAACGCCTTGTAAAGGATGATTACTGGGAATTAAGCAAAAAAGCGAAAAAAAAATTTTAAAAATAACTAATTGTTAAAGTACAACTGTGATGGGATTAGTGTCTCCATTTTTGCGTGCATAGAGACCATAATGGGACACTGGGAGCTGTCAAAGTGTAGAAATGGATCCCTAGTTGAATACAAAGCCTAGGTAAGAACTACTATTCGTAACGGTTATAATGTCAGTGATGTGTTAATTTTCCAACTATTCATGGATAAGCTGGAAGGCCTTCAAAAGTTCATTTGTTGCTGTTGGGGATCCAGGATTTCCCAAATTCCTCATTGCCGGTTTTTGTCTTTATTTACATTGTTTTTCTACCATGTGCTTAACTGATCCCTTTTATCTGGTCAAGGTCACTCAATTGCACTTTGGTTGAGGTGATTAAATCTCTCTACACGAGCTCTGGTCATGTCTTATATTAGCTTAGGAAGGTCGGCTTAAGTCAATAAGGTATCTGGTACCAATATCTGAGGAGACTTCTCTTGGTTACGGACAAACGTAAGAGTTGCTCGGTATGAAATCAACATAAGGTGGTCCTGTTTTTTGACTTTTGCATACAACTATCAGAGGTTACTCTAATGAAAAATCCGCCATGTCGCTTTAAGTTGACTCGAATTAAATTAAACCATATAGTTATAATCACAGAAAACATTTCGCCGTATGGCTTTAAAACTGCTTATTTGAATCACAACTAAAAACCTGCAAACATTCCCAAGACGTTATTAACAATAAGACGAATTGAGTTTGACTTGGAAAGCTTGAATGGTTAATTCATTCATTGAAGAATCGTTTCGACGTTACCATAAACACATTAATTCAAGTGCTTAGGGCTGTAGTAGCTTGCTTAGCACTTCCTTGCAGCCCTCTAGGTAACGGTCTTCGAAAGCCTGAGAACAGAGAGAAAAGGTGAAGGCTGGCGACAGCGATTATGACCGTTCAATAGCTTCACGCCAGCCACGCGTTTGTTTTTGTGTGCGGAGGAGTGCGCGTGCGTACCAGATGACTAATACCAGTAACCAATAGTAACATGGGCAAGTCATTGTACTTTCACATCTGCACACATGCCTTACTTAAACTACAACACGGCAAGTTTACAGTTGCAGCATTCATGAATATCTTGATGTCTAGATCTGAACTCTCTTAACGCATTTGGATGCATTAACTGCTTGTAATGTGGATAATTCTGTTACCAATTGTTTGACTATGGTCATATTTCAAGTATGAAAGGGTCACAACAAGATTGCAAGGTATGATTTCACTAAAGTATTGACGTAAGAAAGTGGGTCCAATTAGAAGCTAGCGAGTAACAAAAATTAGCATTTTTTAATCTTAAACAATGGTTTTTGATGGGCAAGTCACGTACGAATCCCCTGCATTACCGGTTTATCCAAGGTAACTATCAACACTAACGAGAAACTCGTTTGCGAATATATCTGAAAGAGGAAAAGTAGATTTGTTAAAAATTTTAAAATTTTCTAAACAACTTCTTATTCTATTAACATATTTGTTTAAGTCAATTTAAAATAATCGCGACATAAGACATGTGGGAGCAGGGCCTAATAATCACCTTCTGCTTAAAATAATCCCACTTCATTAAAAAAAATAAAACTGAGCTCAATTTCTTATTAAAGATTAAAACTACGATGGCCGTGCGTAGGCCTTAAACTTGCAAGCTTGGCCTGAGCAATTGAAATAAGGTAGACACAAGGACATTCAACAGCGCAAGACGAAGAAAGAACTTTAATATGTGCAACATGATTCGTCAAGATAATTAGACACGTTAGAAGATAGACAGCTGAACAAAATTAAGAGTACAAAGACTGTTTACAAAGTGCTATGCGTCCTGCGTGGCGACCTGAGTTCAGCACATGAATAAAGGTCAATATTATTAGAAACAGATAATCCAACCTTTATAATCTCATTTCCATTTAACCCTTTGTTTTAACATACCAGTTTTGTTAAAAATTATTTAAAATCAAAAATAATGATAGAGAATACTATTTGTAGTGTGCATTTAATCTTTTAAATTTGTCGCTAATTTTATTCATTATTGATTTATTTATATTTTTGGATTAACACTATTAAAATATACCATATGGACTGTTTTAGCTGTTCTTCGATTTCGAAGAGTGTATCCGTTATTGTTTATGCTCGTATATATTATATTTGACATAAAATTCTGAGAGGCCAAAACGCTAATTACTTTAAAAAAAACTAGTTAGCACTAAGCGTAAAAAAGCACCAACTTAAACTCTTTAATAATCTGAATTTAAAATATGTCAAAACGCAATATTGACATATTTTAATGTCACATAGGTTTAAACATAATTACTATAATTAGGTTACAATTAAAGTATGCAAAATAAACGATAGGCAAACAAATAGTTTTTAAATTGTTTAGTTTTAATGTTTTGTTGTTCTCGGTCACTTCATGTGCGGCTTCTTTGATTTGGTTTCCCTGAAGGATTTTGGTAGCATTGTTGGGTATGCTTTTCTGTCCCTTTGCACTCCGCATACTTGTGAATTTAAGTTATCTGTTTATGATCTTAGGTTTTGTAAGATATTTTAGTACATTAATGCATTTGAAGTATCGTCGTCCGTTAGTAGTAATCGTTTGACTGTACCATTTACCATGTCAATACTCTTGATGTTCAAGTCGAGCGTATTTTTTTCATAATTATGTTGATTCATTGACCTGCAGAAATCAGGCCTAATTTTGGTTTGCTACATGTATTAAAGGTTCTTCTTCCTGTTTTATTATTTTTTTAATTCGTACATTATATTACCAGTATATCTGTGTAAATGTTAACGTTTTGTCTACTCGCGTTGTATACGTTCACACTACTGTTACACATTGTTCGCTTTTTCATTATGCTTAATTTTGGTACGATATTTTGCTTACAGATTTTTAAATGAACTTATTCTGTTGACATTTATTAAATCTATATTTTTCTCCGGCTGGTCTACTTAATATTCCTGTCTTAGGACTCGGACTAGTAGTGATTCGAAATTACAGAGTGTTATCTTGCTACTGCAATTTCATTTGTTTTTCGAGCAAAGTAGGCAGACAATTGGCGTTATTGTTGCATACCCTATCACAATTTTTCTTATAACTCTTCATTCTCGTCTAGATTTGCCAAGCTTTGTGTGACTCTGAATGACATCACAAAAGCAAGCACTTCCTTCAACGATGTCTGGTGCTATTCATTCTCACAGTGGCCTCCAAGGTATGTCAGTGGAATCAAGTTCTTCGGGGCCACATGTGCGACGACGAGATGAGAAACAGTGTGCTGTCTGCGGTGACCATGCAGTAGGCTTTAATTTTGGTGCTATCGCCTGCGAGTCTTGCAAAGCCTTCTTTCGCCGTAACGCACTCCGTGTCTCGGTAGGTATTTGTACATCTAGACATTTTAAAGGCCCCAACGTGTGTCAAACCCACACATCTGCTGCACCAATATTGGTGCTTTTGCGACCTGATCCGGCAACAAGTACCTAGTGAAAAGTGAGAAGACCGAAGGCGACGTAGTTTCAATTATTTAAGAGGCCGCTGAATCTGGGGGGTCTCTGTTGTGGTCTTTTAAGAGTATTTATGAGTCAAGAATGTGGACTGCAGTTTGCATGCGTCATTGGGTGTTAACAGAGGATTTGAGGTGTTCGTGTACAAATTCTGGGGTTGTCGGAGAAAAGCAATGCATTTTTTTCGGAGCTGTAAACAAAGATAGGACTCAGTAAGGAACCTATGAGTGTGAACAAATATCGGGACCGGAAATTCGTGAATTGTGGCGACTCTCGTGGATCTCCGAGATGTACAGTTGCTCTCCTTTTTGCGTCCTAATGCACTCTACTACCCAAAATTTCATTCTGCGATTGCGTTGATTGGTTGTGGTGTTATTTGGGTATGGAAAGAAGTCGGTCGTCTCATGGCTTATGGGCCCACAACGTTTCCCTCTACAATTTCGCGCGCTGTGAAGATGCAGTCATTTCCTTCGTCAACCGTATACCACGAATACAAAAATTAACCGTATTGTAGCAAAGACGTTTGCCACTTGGTGTGTGTGTGTGTACATGTGACAGGTCAGTTATATCGTAGGCAAGTTTGCGGATGCGTGCTTTGTTAATGGTTGTACGCTTCTCGAATCGGAATCCTGCGTCAAAGTGGAAGCCCTTCTAGTTCGTGTTGATGTGATTCCATAGCCCAACTGCCAAAATCGCTACTTATCTCTTGTTTTTTGCGCACTCGACGATTGCATCCGAAACGTGCACTTCGTGGGAACCCAGTTTGTTAACACCTACGCCGTTGTGCAAATTCCTCATTTTCAAGGGCTTTTCGATGGTCCTTACGTCACATGAATCCATTGTTTACTCACAGGTTAACGCCGGGTGCACTCAAGTCGTCCCATTGTCGAAATTGCACCGATATTTCATCCGCAATTGCCGCTAATTGGTTGTCAGCTCTTTGCACTGCACTAAATTACCTGACTTGGATTTGTGCACCGATCTATTAACTTGAGTTATTTGCCGCTCCTCTAGTCTTCATCTTGTTGTGTGTTCACGCAGCACTCTCACCTGAGTGAGTGCTGCTTGCCAGCATGTGAATTGCAGTCGGGTTTTATAATTTTTGCGTATATTTGCGTTTTTTTGTTTCGACATTGATAAAACGTGATGTTATCCACTCCAAACTAACCATTCTGTCAAAGCATTTGTAAGTTTTGTGCATGAGGTTGTCTTCAACGTCTAGTCCGATTCTCAGGACTGCTTCATTCCATGTCCTAATCGGGTTCGATTATATTGATTAGAGTCGCTTACAAAATAGGGTCTCTGTGTGGTACAGGCAGTGTTCAACCGTGATAGGTATGTGGACCAGTGACTTTTTGTAGCAGTAGTTCTGAAAGTGTGGCCTGTGCAGAACTTTGGTCGCTGCAAAAACTCACAAGTGTTCATTGGTGGAATGTGGTATTGAGGGCGGTTCCAGAGTCACATTTTTCGCAATCCTTTTATTGGCTCTGCTTGTCGCGAGTAAGTCGTTTTGACGTAGGCCTTAACCCGTGCTGCGACACTTGTGGGTGTCTCGTTGTCGTTGGTGAGTTTTGCACACAATTTGTGGGTTTGGCAATGTGAAAGCGACTTATTAGTGTTTCCAATGGTGTATTTGCTCTTACTTATCTACGGTGTTTGCTTGAGCCACTCTGCTTCAGGGGATCGCCATTTAGCTAGCTAGAATTGGTTGTGAATTATCTTTGTGGTCGTTTGACACGTTTGAGCCCACCGATTTAATTACCACTTGGTCCGATGACGTAGCAGATTGCGGAGTCTTGAAAAGGTTGCTTAGCCATCTGCAACCACACGCACTTCTGACTAGTCACGCTGAAACAAGGGTGCAAGTGTAGTGCTTTCACTCGTGGAATGTATGCTTGCGGTAACCGACTTATCGCTTAAGGCAAACTTCGCGGAAGCTGCTCGTGTCTTGCTTAACTGGTCTCCACTTTACCCACAATCAGCTTTTAATGGGGCAATCGAATATTAATACCACCAAATTTCTAGATCTTCTTCTGCGTTGTTTGGGGATGACGATGGTCTTCTAAACCACTAAGTACCGTCTTGCCTTTGAATCACCAACGTAAATTTTTCTTTTGAAATCGATTGATTCTGGGTCGTTTTGAAGCGCCAAAATCAATGAACTTTTGACAAATAACCTCGTCGTGTCTGTGGTTTTATATACTGCTTTGCCACATATACATTTACGCACACGCTATTTCTCGTGGCGCCGCAATGCTTTGCAGGGTTTTGAGAACAATCCTTAAATGTGGCTCCGAGACTATAATTTCTCTACTTCACCGTAGAAACGCGGCATAGACTTGACAACTTGAAGTGCGTTCAACTTACATTTGAAGTGGTTTTTTGATGCGCCAGCAACCGGAGTGCTTTCGTGTTGTTGTAGATGCCACCGTGTCTGTTCAACGCCAACTGCTTGATACAGGTGAAGACGCGCCGTTTCTGCTCGCCCTGCCGTCTCGCCAAATGCTTCGCCGTGGGCATGCGGAAGTCCTGCATCATGGGTGCGTTCCTAACTCTCACCCCCTGTTACGTTTGCCCGTAACAAAGAGAAGACCACTCAAATAACGGTACCGGATCCCTTGCTGAAGCTAGAACCGACCTTCCCAGGCTAATGCAAGAACAAGACCAGAGCTCGAGTAGAGAGCTTTATTCACGCCAGCCACGTGCAGAGAAGAAGTGAAATCGAAAGTGATTCAAGTCAAGGTCAACCTTAACTTGATAAAAGCGTAACAAAACAAATGTTGGTAAATTAATGTAAATAGCATCAGAAACCAATCTTGGAGAATCGTGGATCCCCAAAACCCTCCCACCTCTCCTCGTTTTCGTTTATTGCTGTGGATATTTGCGTTTTCTAACCAATGACCCCTGAACTCTACGAGTGCTTGCACACAAGCGCATGAATCGGTGTGTTCATTTGTTTACCTGACTATTATTGGCTCCTTAGGGATCTTAACCTGTCTGTGGTTTCACTCCCAGAGGCTGATCCATTTTGAACCATTCTTGTGCGTTTCAGCACGTTCTGACCTCAAAAAGAAGGCAATATTTGTGGTGACCGTACCTGCACCCTCGACCCACAGTGTCGGGATCGGTACACGCCATGTCATTTCCGCGCTTCCCACGGCCATATCACATGCATGCGCCTTCTTACAGGTGTCCGATGACAGTAACCAATGACACCGTCAGTAAACAGGCACGATCGCTGACGTTCCCCTACAATACTGCCATTGTCTGGTTGAGGTGCTTACTGGGCCGCAGTTGGCACGTCGATAGATGCTAATGATTGCTCCGCTTTCTATCAGAGACGAAAGTTATGGAAGTGGGCGTAGTCAATAGTGAACTTGCATCCTCAGACCCGTATTTATTTGGAGGTTTACGATTGCACATAGCGATCCTTAACCAGTTCTGAATATTTAGCAATGTTGAGTGCACAAATCGGACTTGGTGTATCTCTGATTGTCTTATCGCTTGTTTATTTTAAGCTACCTAAATTCTTGGTTAAGTGCATGCGTAATACTTTGTGTTTATTTACGTGATCGTTTATCTAGTGCCTGTTTCCACTTGTTTTTTTGTGACATTATGCCTAGTTTAACAGCGCGTTGTATGCACGGCCTTCTCTCTTAGGGCCTTGATGTGAGACTCGACAATAGGCAGAGTTTAATACGCGGAGGAGGTGACAAGGGGGTCTTCCGTAGCGTGGATATTTGATGTGCGGTGTTGACCTTATCTAAGCCTGTCATCCAACCCCGTGCGTGTTTCGAACACCCAAACATGCATCCTGGACGAGGGTGGGATTTCATTCTCGTCACGATTTCCCAAACCACGTGCTTGCGCACGTGTCGCGGAGGTGGGTAAATGGGAATCGGAAGATTGTGTCACTGCTGGTCAGTCCCCCCCCCTCCAAGCACGAATAATCTCTCGTGTGATTGCGAAAACCCATCGCGAGTGTCGCACATTTTTATGGCTTGTTTTTGAGCAGTCAAGCTGTCATTTGCTGGATTATTAAACCGATATCACCGTGTCACTTGAAACCTTCAACTCTGGAAACTGTCGCTTTCGGTTTTTAGCGTTGAAGACGGGTTCAAGCACACACCGGCAGATGAAATTTGAGTGAAGATGTATCGAGGTGACTGCTGTCGGCCACAGATTTTTCGTGTCTCCTGTATGGAGATTTATTCCACTATCAAAGTCATTTTTGCTCGTGTACACAAGGAACTTACCTTTCGACATTCAGACACTTTAGGTGCATGCAAAAAGACACCATTACCTAGGCCGCCAAGCGTTTTTACTGCAGACGCGAGTTGTCTAATAGTAAATACACATTAATTGGCAGTGATTGTACTAATGACAATCGGTTTGCTTCAGAACTGCTGACGAGGCGTTAAAGGTTTTGAGACGACTTCACTGATCTGATAAGTGTCGCCAGACTAGCTTCGAAGGTTTGAACTCTTCTCTAACGAAAGGATCGTCTGTAATGTGACGCCGTGAGCGAAAAGTACAAGATTGATCGTGAATTAAGCTCAAAACGGTGACTCGATTGGTTTGGGAATTGGGATAGGACACGTGGACAAGCGCCTAGAACAATTTAATTTGGTTTATCATTCACTGGGCGTGTTCAGTAGAACGTTTTTATGACGCTCTGTCTGGTTGAGAGTGTTTCAGTGTCGATGGATACATCATATTCCTTTCCGTGGTCATAGTTTTCTTCTCTGCAAATTTCCTACAACGCTGAAGACATTTGTCGAAATATTAACATGATCAGCGACTACTTGATGTCACTTGCCTATCCATTGCCACTCTCAGCCGAATCCGCATTTGGACGAATTTACTTCCTTGAAAGGCAAGGTTTCCAACGAAACGACTCACATTATGGCACGCTGAAGCAACCGATGTTACGCCTTCCCGAATTAACCTTCACCTTCAACGTTGGAACAGGACATCGCCTTGGAAGGCGATCAGTCGTTGGAACGCCGGAACTAAGCGTGTCTGTGTCACTGGTGAACGCCAATCTGTGGATGCATTCGCTCTGCTAAACTAACTCTGGTTGCTTAGCTACTGTGGATGTCCTATTTAACAGCGTGTGCAAGCCTATCTACGCACAATTCCTCTTGACGTTTGATAAGTGACAGGCTTTCAATTTCTTTGTAAAAGTCAGTGTGGATATTCATCGAATCCTTTCTGTAATGTCAATTGTGCTTGCAAAGCATATTCGGACGAAGAAAAGAGGTGTCCAGATGCACCCATACCTGGGAAATTATGATGAGTGAGACAGTGAGTGTAGCGCTATGAAACCCATATCCCTTATCAGGCAATTACACGACACCAACTTGCTCAACACTGGATGAATCCTCTTTGATGGACAGATTTTCACTACAGTCGGTTCTACCCTGGGTGTTCCCCGTGGCTTGAAACTAGTCCGTTGTAGTCGAGGTGATTTTAAGGCTTCACGCTAATTCCCGATTCGTTTTCCTGAAATCTGTCTCATTTCTAGGTAACAGTATTTAAATTTCTAATTAACACCTTGGTTTGCGTGAAGGTCTAAAAGCATCCAAGTCTAGGTTCTATGTCTCTATGAAATGTCAAGCGTATTTTAACCACAGGTAACCGGTGCGTAGTTGAAATCCACTCGGTTGTTGTTAATCAAGACTGCTGGACATGCCGCGTAAACCGTTTGCACCATAGGTGTGCACATGTCATAACTGGGAGGTTTGTTTAATGACGTGTCAGGCGCCCGTGCAACTTGTCGCCAGTACAGTACGCGTGGATTCCTGTCGTGGATTAAGTCCTGCAACCTCGTAATTTACCTGCCAATTGGAGTAGGTGCACCGGAACAAGTTGCATTATTGTTATTTCGATCGGTGAATGCGTGGTTCGTTTTGCCCGTAACCAAGACCACATGCTTCCTCAGATAACCGGTAACCTAGATCCCTTGTCAGACGCTAGCCACCACACCTTCCCACGCTGATGCAAGAGAGGGCAGGGCCTCGTTCAGAGAGCCTATAATGCCTCAGCTAAAGGCCGAGTGATCTGTCGGAATTCACCCACTGACGTATTAACACAGACGGGGCTGTCAGAAGGGTGCCATGGGTGACTCGCCCACTGGAGTGACGTGATTAGGGGGAAGTGAGTAAATAGTGACGAAATCCTAACCTGCGATGAGCGGTCTTGGGGAGTGCTGGATCCCCAGCAGAATGTGGTCAGATCAAGTTTGAATTTGAGTACAGGCGCGCCTTGACATATTTGTGTAGTATCTGTGATCATCAAATCAGTCCATTTTATGTCTCCTTAGGCAGCGAAAATAGGCATTTGACAGTGAAGGTAGGTACCTCTGGTTGGGCGTTACAATTCGCTCAGATCCAAAGTGGCTGACTTTTCCTTCCACAGACGTGGAAATTCGCTTGTTTTCCGTCTGTCTTCGTCACTCATCAACTTTGTCCCCTACCCAGTGCTCAGTTGTGCTGCTTTTACTTGGGCTTTACTTCCCTTTGTTTTTTTGCATATTAGTGGCCACATCCCCACGTCCAGGCTTTTGGTTGCTGGGCAACGGACTAATGTCGCGTCTGACAGTCTCATTAGCCTGTTTTTGTCTCAAATGCTTTTAAAGTCTGCGTTTAGACCATGAAATGCCAAAGAATCACTCTTCCTATTGTCCTAGCTTTGTTCTGTCTCGGCCATTAGTGTACAACTAATTTCTTTTGTGTGGTTTTTTGTCTTACGAATCTCCCTCTCGGTACAGCTTCGTTATAAGCGCTTTTTTTCACCCGAAAAGTGGTTTCAGCGGGCACGTCAAAAATGCCTTTTGTAGACGAGAAGGCAAAGCGCGAGCGGAGGGAAAAGATTCAGCGGAATCGTGAGCGCAAAGCCCGTGCCCCCGACACCCGCAGCAGCTCCCCCCTCTCCGACTACCCCCACAATCCTCTGCCCGACGCCTCAAACACGCATGCCCTGCACCAGCAGACGTCGTCCTTCTACCCAATGGTCAACGCAGACCCCTCCACACCGGGCTCCGCTGAGCATCTCCAGCTGCCTGGATGCCACAGTGCCCTCAACGGCGAATCCGCTTGGCAGATGGTGAGCACGCATCATCTTACAGCTGTCGTAGTGCGTTGGCTCGTGGGTGTGCTTGATATTTAAGTACAGTTTTTTTCCGTTGAGCTAAAGTTATATTTCAAAACGACATATTTTCGTGGCCTTTTCTGACAAGTCCATATAATCTACATGACATCTCACAATAGCTGCATTTACGATGGCAACTAATCAGCAACATATTCGATAGCACTGTATTTTATCCCGATTCTAACAAGGAAAAAAACGCTTCTAAAGAAAGGGGGAATCAGTTTGTGGTGTTCTTGGTGCCGACTTTGTGTCGCATGAAAAGTGTAATTATTGGTGTACAGACGTTTCAGATGTGGCGATTTCAATCTTAGCGACTAGCCACGCCCCGAGCGGCAGCCGCAAACGTTTGAAGCTGCGCAATTGCAAGCTTTATTGAATAAAGACTCAACTTAAACGCAACAAGGGCTTGCATTTGCATTAAATGAGCAAAATTCAGAAACTTAGGTGTTGAGTCCCACGTGTGTTGACCGAACACAACCCCCTAGGTCAACGTATGTACACATGCCTTTCAATGCTTGCCCGCCGGCCGCAAGCAATGAATGAACTTTTTGTGGAAAATTGTGACAGGTGATGAAAAGAATACTTTTTTTTACGCGAACCCCCAAAGTAAAATGTCGTGGGCTGATTCCGGGCGATTGAGTCGATCGATCCCGGAACGGGACAACCATTCACCTGAAAAATGTTTGCCCGTGTATCTGGTGGGGGTGGGACATGTAGAGTGCACTATATTACGAACTAGAAACTGGTTAGACGATGACTGCGGAACGCTACAGCCGATAATCGAGCAAACTGAGCGAAGGACTTGACCAGAAGAGGTCATATACTCTGCAAGGAAGCAGGCAAGTCATACTACTGCTGCATGACAGCGCTCGCTCGACTCAGAAGACCCTCTTGAGCTTAGTACTGGAAGTTCTCCCACAAGAGGCAAGTTCATCAGACTTTGCCAAATTTTTTCGGTCAATGCAGCAGCACGCCTTAGTGAATAAACAGTTCAAAACGCCGGACGATGTGCGTTAATAATACGTAGATGCGTTTTTTGCCTCTAATCCTACAAGTTTCTTTCGCGACGGCAGTCGTACGCTACCCGAGAGATGGCTCAGATTAAGTTTGTTATTTTCTATTTTTTTTATTCTAAATAAATTTGCAGATATTTGGTAGAAATCAAGTCACGCACCTAATAAAATATTATTATTTATTAACCCTGACCAACATTTCACCGGAAATTTGTACCTTAAGCACGTATGAGCTTTGGACACCACGAAAACACCTGCATTTGCAAAACAGGTCGCTACCCCTCTCTCTCGAACTAGTCTGAGAATATTAACCGGCGTGTCCACTTATCCAACCAGGATGTCCGACTTTTATAGTAAAAATGTTCGTTTTTGTTATCCAACGCCTTGGAGACTATCCTATACACGGACCATTCTTGCTCGTCTTAACCAATAGCATTGTCAGAACACCGGTGATTGTTTCCCATTAGTTAAAATAACAGAAATCCGCCCATTGGCTTTGTTTAAACCAACCAATCAGATTTTAGGTCAACTAACATCCGAAGTCGCGTTCAGTTCATGTGCTTAAGCTAGCTACTTTTCTCATCTTACCGAGCGTTTTCGAGTCTTGACGGCTTTAACTGACAAACTGATCATCCCTAAATTATCCCCCGTTTATCACAAATACTCTTTTTATAGTTGAGTTGTGTGTGTGTGTGTGTGTTGCGCATGACTGTTAACTGCCTAAACACGCATGTCGCAGCCTGATGCAAAAATGCATTGCATTAATTCTCAATCACATTGTCTAGATTTTCCGGACGTAAACCATCGCGGAAGATAAACTGCACAAAGCCACTCACTTTGTCTGGTTTCGCATTTAGTGAACTCGTAAATTTGGTGTTCCACAAGTGCTAATGACATATGCTAATACCGTTACATGGTCCTGCGATATTGAGGCCTGTGATTGGTCCGTTTTGTATTTACGTCCTTTTAATTAATTGGAGCTGAGTATGCTTCCTCTCAAATGTTACCTGCAGCGCACAACAAAAACTCTATTAAGCGTCGTTTCGCCAGACTATTTGCGAATTCCTAGCTGCCCTCGCATTTGATGCGCACGCACGCATGCAATTTAATTGGATTTCTCGCTTGGGTGGCAGATTCCTAAATCCCCTCTGGGTTTTCTAGAAGCAATCACAGTTGGTAGGTTCATCACTAAAGCCCGTGGCGATTCCAACCATTACCTACTTTGGCTTATCGTAACAGCGTCTGAAGAAAAAGCGCCCTCTGCCTTGTAGTGTGGGCACCCTCCCCCTCCAGCTCTGTCTCCATCAATGCTTTGAGGTGTCGGTTTAGTTCTCCCAACCTACGCCGCCACCTCCTTTCTTTCAGTGCCGCTGCCTACTCCGTTTTGCGGGCACGGTGATGCGTTGATTGTCACCGTGGTAACCAGCCTAATTGCCCTCCTCTTGTAAATAATGACGTCGCTTTGTCTCCAAAACACCATCGCGTCCTTTAACACGTGTTAGCCTTTAATGATACCTCGCATGGCGGTGAAACGCTCGTGTTGTGCGAGGCTGTGTAAATGTTGGTGGTTAGTGAGCGGGAAGGTCGTGCTTTCGCCAGTTTTGGGAGGTTTCCGGTGAAGCGGATTGGCCGCACTTCTTTGTGGTCCTAAAGTGTCAATGGAGGGCCGTCTTACGCTGACGGAATCGCCTAATGGTGCGTGTGGTGTCAACCATTTGAACGATCAACTTGTTATCGCGGTCGTAACCACCCACGCGCTAATATTGCCAGAAAACCTTATTTGATGTGTGTTTGGATCAGGGCTGGCAGCGATGTCCCTCTAGACTTCCTCAAATGTTATCGCATCCAGGTACAGTTGGATGCTCTTTTGACTAGCCGGAAGCAGGCCGTCACTTGTTTAACATGCGCTTGGTGTTACAAATAACACCGACAGAGCCACGACAGTCCTAGCATCTGTGGTTCGACGCCTTTACCAGGTGCTGTTAGTACTGATCAACTTCCGTTGAATTGTTCTAACTACAAACGAATACACCCCTCGACTGTGTGGGGCAACAGGCGTTCACAATGCACTCTGTGGGTTATCCCCCCCTCCAAGCTTGGTCCTTTTTTCTTGTACCAGTCAACATCACCCCCAGGCTGACTCGGATCAAGTTAATCCGTTTTTATGTAATATATATCTTACAACCCCCTGAATAGATGGCTCTCATTTCCCATCGAAAAAGTCAAATCATTGTAGCGTAGGTTTGTTTCCTTGTGAATGACTTAATGAGGTTATCTTATTCTCGCTCTTCATCGTTTCACTGTCAAACACTTTTGGTTTTTAGCCACTCCAGAAATTTCCCCACGAAAGTCACCATGTGTCGGAGAATTCTTTGGGTGAGTTACTTCCTTTCGGTTTAATTTTCACTAATTCTCAGCTGTTGGGGTACTCAACTAGACCCTCTCTTAGTTGTTGACATCTTGTCGGTCCATTGGATTACTGCTACCACTTGCCCCTGACGAACTCTGCGTTCATTTAAAATCCACTCCTTTTTCACCGTATTTGTGTAGTTGTCACATCTTACTCTATGGCCTGTGTTGATCAATTTGTCGTTCAGTCCAGCAGGCATAATTAGCCCAAAATTTCCCTGTGTAAATTGGTTTATGGCTGGCTTCAGTCTGGAACTAGGTTGCTACTTTTGGTCGGTTGAGAGTCACATGTGTGGTTTCTGGCCAGAAATTTTAGTTTTAAGTTGCCTTTTTGGTAATCACTCTTACTAAAAGTAAGTCAGCCTTCATTGAGTGCCGACTTCACTGACTGTATTTACATGCACTTCCCATTTTGCCTCTAGGCGTCTACCCACCTTATCAGTCAAATCACCCCCACCTGTTGGCTCCACCGTCAAAGACCTGTCCCGACACCGCGCTCTCGCCGGCTGAGGTCCACCACCAGACCTCCTACTCCCCCTCACCCCCACATCCCCCTTCTCCCGTCCCACCAACCTCCGAACCCACTTTCAGTGAGTCCTGGCTGCATTCGGCAAGTCAAAACCCCTCCGCCTCATCTTCCACGAAAACTGGCGCCGAGTGTTTCTCTACGCTGCCCTACTACGTGAAAAGAACACCTAGGTCAACCGTGCCCGCATCACAGTGCCAGCTGTCGCAGACAAACGGCGACAACAATTCCGGTGTGAAAAATGTCCTCGATGGTCACGTGTGGACGTCGGAGCCGGAAGATCCCTCGAACAAAGTGAGACATCCCTCCTCCTCCTCCTCCGTCGCTGTGGCGGGTCAAATCGTCCACACTTGTCTCTTTAATTTGCTACCCGTTTCTGTTATTTCGCAGTGCGATAGTGGTTTATGGGATGCCATCTAACCGGTGAAGAGAGAGGTGTTGAGACGCCGTATATAACTAACTACCCAACAAAGATGAAGTCGGTGGAAGGACAGACAGTGAACCGTTTGTTCGAGAACTTGACGAAGCCGTGGCTGCGTGTGGGGTTTGCGTGTGTGTGTTTGTAGCTCGGATGTGTGAGTCATAACTGCACTAAGATCGAGACCTAGGTGTGAGGATAATCCAAGATAAATATTCGTGTGAATGAAGGGGAGTTGAGGATTCACGCGGCTGACGCCATGCTGCGAAAAAGGGGAACCCTGTGTCGGAGGCGGAGCGACCGGATTAAGGGGTTGAATAAACACGATTCACAACAGAGGTTTCGTAGTCGTTCGTGGAAGACATTGAAGCACTTCTATTTGTGGCTCCGATCACCAGTATAGCCTCGCTCAATTTGCTACCATGAGCGTCCTATGCAGAACTTTGCAGATTGCCTGGAAGTCTTTGCGTGTCTGTGTGGCATCACACTGGCGCTTTCGCGTGTGCCTCTGTGCATCAGACAATGTGTAGCAGCTTTTATTCTCTCCTTGCAAACCAAGGCCACTGTCATGCGCCATGCCGCCAAAATGCTTCAGCTTGTAAAGCATTTGTTCGCGTTCAGACATCAAGTGACATTTGGAAAATTCGTATGTGCTTTCAGCAGTTATTAACTGTCCACGTGACTTGGGTAAACGTCAACTAAACCACTGGTAGACGCAGGCATAGCAGTGGAAATTTCGTGATTTTATTGAAGGCGCATTGGAGGCCTTGTTAGTACAATTTGGTAATTTTCCGTGGTCTAGATTGTCCCAATAGCACGTATTGATCGTGGTTCCTACACACCTCAATATACGCAGGTGACCTATTACAATTCGGCATCAACTTCACACAGATACACTTATAGCACGCCGGGGCAACTCACCTTTCACGCAAAAATTGACGTCGATTTGACCTTGAGACGATGAAGGTGCTTCATCCATTCATGCTTGTTTTAATGATTAAGAATGTTAGCATTGTGTAATATCGACAAATCCGACTTGAAAAAAACCGCTAGCAGGTGAGTGAAGCCTGTTTACTGACCTGATGGTGCCAATGACTCATCACTTTTACACCGGCTGCTAGTATCAGACGCCTACACCCACTCACTCATCCACACACACTAAGCCAAACACTTGGCTGTCGCAACGCTAATAAACTGTCGTATCCACTGGCGCCGTCTTGTCTCCATTCTCGGGTTGTTAACCAAAGGGTTGTAAGGCAGCGCTGTGCAAGCCACCACAAGCCCATTCCTCTAGCCCCATCTTCCTTTGGTGTTTGACGGGTTTCTGCGCAAATGGCTCACCTCGAAGGACTTCTACCAGTAAACAGGCCACCCTATAATTTGAGTGTTTGCAGACACCCGTGGTGAAATAACGACACACACCTAGTTGGATACAGCGGTGTGTAAACTCTCCAGATGTGCTGTGTGTGTGCGTTTTTTCATAGGCCTTTTGTTACCAAATCATTGTGAACAGGGTGGATTAACCGTGTTGGGAACAAATCACCTTGTGAACAGTCGGTTCGAACAAGCCCCTGGTGGTACGCTGCTGTTGTTGCCGCTAAGCTTTTTGCGTCACCATGCCGAAAACCCCGTCACACCACTAACTTGTCTGCTTGCAAACCAGTTATTTCTATCGATTCCCGGTTGTATGCTTTCTTGTGGTTCAAGACGGCAGTGGAACACGGAGGAACTGCTAAATCAATGTGCGCCCTCATTTTTAACTTTTGTAGGCTCTGTTTTAGCGGTGTCGCTGTTACCAATTACCTGTCCCCCTAACTCTGATGCCATGCTACCGTATGACGTAGCTAATAACTACCCAAATCTGGTGAATTTCGATCTTTATAGGAGTGTATTGCGCTGTGCCCTAATTTCCTGAAGACGGGCATGGCCCGCCTGCTGTCCAAACACCAGTGGACGGCGCTGAACGACCTCCGCAGCGCCTACGAGACCTCCTTCCTCGACAGCGCCTCTGACCACGCGCCTGAGAGCAGCTCAAATCTCACTCTGAGCAGCCTCGTGAATACGTCGGGTTTCCTTGTGCGGAAGTTCATCAACTTTGCCAAAAAACTGGCCGATTTCTCGGTGCTGGGTCAGGAGGGTCAGATATGCCTGCTCAAGGGTGTTGTCCTGAATGCCCTCTTCATTCGTTCGGCGAGCCACTACAACGTCGTCAAGGATGTCTGGATCACGCCTAAAGGCGAGATTCCAACGCGGATACTCAAAATCGCCACTGGATTGGAGAATTTCTATGAGGAACACGCAAAGTACTGCAGGTCGGTTTCTACTGCCTTCTTCAAATAATTGACAAGTTTTGACCGCGCAAGGTTTCGTAGGCGCCTATTGGTTAACGGGCCGAATTCAGTGACACCTATTCCCCTAAACGTATAACTCACAGCAGCCATTGGGGGCTTCATTCACAACCAAAGGATACACCGCTCTTACTGGTCTTAACACCTCTTCTCCTCACCCGTTGACGCTTTTCTGTTTGTCGGTTTTTTATTCTAGAAAGTTTGCCGACGTCGTGAAAAAGGACTCTCATCTGGTTGCTCTGATGCAGGTCCTCTGTCTCTTCGCCCCTGATCGTCCTCGACTTTCCGATCGGCAATCGGTTAGTGCATCCTCTCTGCGACTGTTCCTCTGCGTAACCTAATTTCACCGTCTGCCATTCACACAATTTTATATTGACCGCGCGCCTAGTTCGTTTTTGTCTTGTGGGGTGGCATTTAATTGGCTAGGAGACGCCAATGAGGAATGCGACTTGTGGCCTGGCCACATTCTCATGATGGCTTCCACTGTAAACTGACCGATGCAAACGTTAAACTCGTTACTTTTGTGCCTGTAACCAAAAATGCACGCACACACAAACACCACCTTCTCAGTGCAGAACTAAGACAAGTCCTCGTGCAAAGAGATTTTACCGTCTCACTTAAAGTTCGAGTAACGTGTATTAATGCACAGCTTATGTTAGGCATTAATTACCTAGAAGGATTAATACAGATGGAGCTGTCAGTGGTGTGCTGTGGCTGAGGTGTCCGTCTAGAGTAGCGTGATTATGGGGGTTTGTGTAATGCTAGATCTCCCGAAAGAACACTACTTAGCACTTTGGATGATGCAAAAATCGCCCGCCACCTACATTGTAAGTGGTTACTGATCAGGCAGCTGCTCCATCAGATTCCGCGCGCCTCAGGTCAATTATGTCAAAAAGTAGTCTAGACAGTTTGCGTTTTTTATGTGGTAGGCGGGCTCGTTTAAAGCATATTTGGACAGGGACATCAGACTTAATTGACACCTGCGTTTGCTCAGGTTTCCAACATCTACGACCGTTACATTCTGCTGCTAAAGCACTACCTCGAAGCCCGCCATGGTTTCACTCTTGGTCGCACCCTATTGGCTGCTGTACTGACCAATCTTGCCGAGCTGCAGGCCCTGACAGACAACTACGGTCACATTCTTCTTCACGTTGACCCCAGCAAGGTGGATCCCCTGATCCTCGAGGTCTTCAACCTCTCTGACAGGGAAAAATGCGGCAAAGTTGACGAGGCAGCTGCCTCCAGCGCCTCAAGTGACATGGCGTCATGTCTGCCTCCGCTCCAACAGACCTCCGCCAATTCCAGCGTGCATAACGCCAGCAGGGATGTCGAATTCAAGCCAGAAGAGGCCTGTGGAGTTCAAACACCCCAGTTGGCCTCCAGTGAAGACCATCCAGGCGCCAATTCTGGATCGATGCTCACTGAGTGAGCCGTGGCTTGTGTGCGCGTGTCAAGGCCTTGCAACTTGTAAATATCTGTGACTGTGCACGTGTGTCGCCGCCCCTCTTCCTTCTCTGCAGCATTCAGTTCACTTTACGCCTTTTTTCAGTCCAGACTTGTGATATTTGCGATACGTTTGTGCCTGTTTGGGTGTCCTTACTCTGGTTATTTTTCTGTTTTTTGAGATCATATATTTTACATATTAGATTGAATTTGAAAAAAGTGGCACAATAAAGATTGTGAAGAAGATTTGCACGATAGTTTTCTTCGTCAACGATAACTGAGGAGTCGCTTGTGCCTGTTGACAGGAGTATTCCGAAGTAATTTGAACTGGTTAACGGTCGGGGCGGTCGGTAAATACCTGTCTCCTATTGGCTGGAGATTTGCTCAAGCACATTAACGATTAGACCAATGCAAGCGTCTTCCATAAACATCTCGCTGTAATGCCCGTCTGAAAATCAGAAAGGCTCAAAGTCGGCTTTAGCTAGAGCCTATCGTCTGATGATGTTCCCGTGTCAAAGAAATCTGGATGTCGTTGGCCGTCAGTACTTGATTCCCAGCGACACCTAAAGCCGTAACTTACGCTCAGTGTTTTCAACCTCAGTCCATGGACGAGGTCAGGTATGTTTCTGGTTGGAGGTTTTCTCAAGCAGTGGGCAACTGCCCTTGGTGTCTACGTGTTGCTTTGAAGCCCGTTTCTACCTTGGAGGAGCATGTGTCTTCCTTTACGGACACGGGTGGCAATGAAGCTCATAGTGCTTTCACGTAATGATGTAGACTTTGTTTTTCCCCAGGAGCCATGTCCGATTTAGGGAGATTTCATTTGAGTCCTGCGCCTACGTCTCCTATTGCGGTGGCGAAACCCTTAATTAGGGTAGTCTACCTCCTAATTATCGTTCCAGTGGGCATGTCCCTCATTGCGACACCTTTTTTGTCCTAATGTGAAATGCATTACCCATCAAATCACATATTTTGAGTCTACTAAGCTTGACAGTAGTCCGACGGTGTCGATGGGGACGTTAAATTTCGCGTGAATCCCTGTACCATTCAATTAAATTTTGGCATGTGACCACTTGTATAGATTTCATGCTAATCGGTGACCTGAGTAAGCTAGATAAAGTTTTTTTTGAATGTACGATAATTCTATGAAGAGCCGACTCAAGAAATTTGATCTACTACACATATTGGATGATACATCATGAGAATTTGTTGTGGGATATTGTACTGGAGCCGAAAATTCGTCAAAATATGGTAACCACCAAAGGGACGTCGAGAAACTTGAACTCTTGCAAACCTCACTGAGTGGTGATGATTTATCAATCTCTGACCTATAATGTGTTCTAAAATTCGGTGCGTGTTTAAATTTCAATTTGGCCCTGCCAAGTCTGGTTGTGACGTTGTGGTGAGTTGAATGCTTGACACTGGTGAACAGCCGTCTATTTGTCAGGGAGGCAAAATCCTCAAATGTCAAAAAGGCGGTTGTATTGACTTGAGCCATCGAGAAATTTTTTGTAACAGATCTGTGCCTCCGAGGCTGGTGGCACACTTTTTACTGATCCTAAGTGTCAGCAAAAATTTCGAAACAATTAAGAAGCAGGTAATTTATCGTTGTTAAAAATGACACTGCATAAAAATTTCACGTTGATAACACGTAAATTCTGTGTGATTATTGAATTTGGTGAATGGTTTATTGCTTAGAACATAAGGGGCTGTGTAAAAATATTTAGCCAGCATTGGTTTTTAGTCAATCTGAAATCGTTAACTGTTTGAAGGATCATGATGGAATTAGTGGCACATACGCGGTAAAAGTCTTCATCTCCAAACAGTATTGTGTGACATCAAAGTAGTTTGAGTACACATGTAGAAGATATGCAATGTGACTTCAAGTGTTGTGAGGAATGTGGATAATCTTGCCATTCACGTAGCTAATTAAATGGTCTTAAGTCGCCTCTGACCTATTATAAGGAAGTAAGGTACTGTTATGTGAACTTAGTTTGTGTACAATAGTTGATTCACAAGCAGAGTTTGGAAGTTAAAGGAAAGGACCAAAGTCTCTAACGTTCTTCTTTTCTATTACATGGTCTTGATGCTGTTGTTGTGATTCAATGTGCAATATCCTTTTATCAGGCACAGCTTGCATGTTTCAGTATTGCAATGTAGCGTTGTTAGTATTCCTGTTAACTTTATTCCGAATAACTTCAAAAATAAATGCAAAACCAGTTAAATAGTTGAATTTTTGCTTAGTTTTACACAGTGATTTTTTAAAACATAAAAATTTAGGGAGATGTCGTGACATTTCAAAATAACTCGCGTCCCATATTTTAAGTGTTAGCGCCAATGTAAGAAACCTGACAAATCATGAATTAGTTTTTTAAACAGTGATGTCTTACGCTAGTCATAAACTGAAGTTCACTTTGTAAAATGGATTTTATGTTTCATAAATCTGCGGCTTTTTCTAACCAGCAACTTGAAATCGGCAATCAAATTTACCACACCTCATCAGGGATATATTAAAAATACATGCTTTGGTCAAGTATTGCGTTAGCAATAATAACGTTGATGATGCACTGAAATTTTGTATCAAATTGTGTTTGTCAATTAATCAGATTGCCATCTTAGTACTTTGTTTATCTGTATCTGTTTAAACATTGGCCGGAGTAGTCGACCTTCGGGTGGGCTGCGTTTCGTTTTTCCCGTTTTCTCGCGTAAGTTAGGTTCCGCACTTTGCGTCCTCTTTATTTCAAATTAAACATAATGCATCCTTTTAATATATACCTCGGCGTATTCACAAGGCCTTTTCTAGACCTGGAACAATTCGTTTGTTTGTTGTTTCTATTGTCCTGTCACTAATACCTTACACGTACAAGCTTCATTCGGCTGCCTGTCATTGTAGCGCTCTAGGCGTTTTGGTCGTTCAACACTTAGTGAATTTTCGGGTTACAGGTTCGTTCGTCAGTTGGAAGTGTTTCAATCCCGACAGTTAAGTATTCTCAATGTAATGTGCTCGTTAATCGTTGTTCGTTTCTTGTTACTCTCTCATGGTCGCAGGTTTTCTTAATAGTCTTTGGTCCGCATCGTTTGTTCCTTACCGTTTTTCTATACGTTTAGCGTTGCCAGATTGCTGCTGCTTTGAAGTCACAGTTTGATTTTAAGTGGTCCATTGTTTATGTCGCATTTCAACATAATTTACTCGGGTAGACTTCGAAATACTGTTCGTTTATGTAGATATCCCTTATTTAAGCTTGGCAACTTATATTCACGCACCGGTCATAAAATTTCAGAGGTTTTATCATACTACGATGGAGTTTACGAACTTAAGGTGCCAAATATTCCATTAATGTCTTTTGTGGATGATTGTGCTATCTTTCGATCAGTTATGTTAATTATACTTGAAAATGCAAATTGTTCCCTGCAAATCAGCATCTTTTGTTCTTGTGAGAAGTGTTCTTAGTGACTTTTCAGATAAATATTTCCATGGAATTAACTCAGCATCTTATCTTGACTTTTCTATTCTGGCGTTGAATGTGCGGCCGTCGCAGCGATCTCGTACCCGAAAATTTCGATATACTGTCTGTAATTTGCTCTGATTTCAAATTAGCCTATACCTGCCTTGACTGCTCTTACTGCGTTTGCGTTCTTTAAATTCACATTTGTGATTGAAGCTGAATCAGTCAATATTCCAGGACGACTGCCTGATTTCCACACTTGTCTCATTGCAAATAATGCAATATTTAATTAATCTTCTAGACAAACGTGGTGATGGGGAAGGAAAAGCCCGGTTTTCTCACTCCCAAGGCGATTTCTAATCGCATCAAGTCCAAAGGTCTTCAGAAGTTGCGATGGTACTGCCAGATGTGCCAGAAGCAATGTCGCGACGAGAACGGCTACAAGTGTCACACCAACTCGGAGTCGCATCATCGCCAGATGAAAATCTTCATGGAAAATGGTGGCAAATTTATCAGCAGTTTCTCATCCGAATTCCTCAAAGGCTACCTGGACATTGTGCGCCGCCAATTCGGCGGAAAACGGGTCCACGCCAATGTTGTGTACCAGGAGTACATTAAAGACAAGGAGCACATCCACATGAATGCCACACGCTGGCACTCACTCACCGGCCTCTGTTTGTGGCTGGGCAAACAGGGCATATGTCGTGTCGATGAAACAGAAAAGGGCTGGTACATCGAGTACATTGATCAGGACCCTGAGGCTGAAAGTCGCAGAGCTTCGGATGCGCGTTTGATGAAAACCGAAGACGAGATTAACCGCCAATTCCTTGGTAAGTCCTCTTTTGCCTCTATGCAGCCGCGTTTCCTGATTCAATTAAGTCCGATAGGCATTACTTCTTTTTGCGGTTTTTGCTTATTACTTTTCCAGAACAAGCGCACTCAAATATCTAATTTTAGAAGAGTAGTTTGGTTAATTTGTGGTAGATGGGTAGACATGACTTTATACTCATCTGTTTTGTTTCTTCGGGCAGTTGTGTAAATGGTGATAGCTAACGAAAAAAGTGTTCGGAGCTAACAGGTTGATGGCTTTGCACAAACTGTGGTGGAAGGTGTTAAGTGGCAGCAGTCCTGTTAATTGACAGACTGGTTATTCGTAGAGGTGTGAATAGCTAGCCCTCAGAGCTAAGAAATGCCACCTGATTGTTATCAGGAGCGGTTTAAGTAAATCTCACCAGCTATTATTAACCCCCAGAAAGCTTTAGCCCTAACAGTCAAACACCATCCTCTGTCGTTGTTACTAATTCGTTGCTGTGGAGCAGGTCTTCACGAAAACCAATGGGTTTGCGATTGTAGCCATTAAGGTCTATTTGCACTCCTAACTCTGCGTTTTGACGCAGCTGAGACGTCTTCTTCTGTCCTTTCCTACTTCAGAAAGACAGATCGAAAAGGCCACCAGTAATAAATCAGCAGCTGTAAAGGAGGAGACGAAGGAAGCGAAGCCGCTTGTTCGGAAAGACGAAGATGAGCTGATTAAACTCGATCTCAAACTCGCTCCGGTCGTACCCAAGGTCGAATGCGTTGTTGAAGAGGGTAAGGAGCAGTCAGAGCTGGATGAAAAGGTCGAAACTGTGGTGCAGACGGGAGAACGGTCCTCGGTTGATAGTGAACCTACAAAGACGCCTGAATCCGCATCCCCTCCGAAAACCTCTGACGCGGAAAACAAGTCAACGTTTATTCCCAGAAAGCGCCTTAAGAGGCAGGTATGTCAGTCATGCTCTTAGATTTCAATCTATGTAGGTGTCTTTGTTAAAATCTCTTAATATCGGATTCTTTGTCCCCTAAGCCCCTCTATCCTAATTGCGGCGATTGTGATGTAGATTTGGTGACGTACGGCGCTAACTTTGCCTGTTTCTTGTTGCAATCAAAGCAGAATCCCCTCCTTTTGGCTGAGAAAAAGGCCCACGAAAACCGGATCCACTCGACCTCAGCACCCTCCTCGTCCGCCGGTGGAAAACGCAGCGCCCTCGACGAGCTCATGGCCGAGGAGGAGATGTTTAAGGAGAAACGCAACCGCAAAGACTACTGGATGACCGTGGGGATTGAAGTCAAGCTGATTCACCACAAACTGCCCCAGAACCTGCTCTATCGCCACGCCGTGGTCACCGACATGGAAGACGACTACACGGTAAATCTCTCTTCCTCCCCCCTCCCAAATGTTTCTTATTTTCTCTTGTTGCTCCATGATTCTTCTTTGAATTCCTTTGGCTCTGGGAAGCGACAACAAATCAGACGTCTCAACCAAGGGAGTGAATTGCGCACCATCACAAGAAATGCCGTAGTACCAGTACATTTTGTTAAAATTCTGTTTCTGTTCAGGCCATCGTACGGGTGTTAAATTCCTCCAAGACAAAGTTGAAGGTCGATCAGGACCACGTGGAAACCGTTATCCCCCCGGTTGGTGACCCTGTTCTTGTTGTCAACGGTGCTTATCGTGGTGAAGTGGCCATCCTTCAACACGTCGACAAGGAACAATCACAGGTCGATATGGTTATTGAATCGGTAAGTTGTTTTGTCGTTCAAATAGTTGAAACCGAACTGCAAGTCGTTTATTAGTTGGTATGTAGAATTCTGTGGGTCGCCTTGGTGAATAGTTTTTGTTCTCTTGCCCGCAGGGTCTTTGTCGTGGTCGCGTTGTTCGCAACGTCTCCATGGAGGATGTCTGCAAGGCCTACGAAGAAGACACGCGATGAACGCGCTTATTTGCTATCCTTCGTCCATGTAAATAGAAAATTCTTTATCTCATAAGAGTGCTTCTCATGGCTGTCTCTCCAGCCCTATTGGTTTGTATTGTACAAAACAATCGTTTCGCACGTTTCGATAGAATAAGTGGGGATCAAACATGTTTTCTGCACGAAAACCTAATAAATTGACTGGAAGCATGAAAGGGAAGGTCTAAAGTCTTTCGCAATGACGTTGTTGTTATGGGGTGTCTGGTGGGGGTGAAGGGGAAATATTTTCTTTTTCGACTCCTTTCATTTTGTGGAGAAGTTCTGTGCTGGAAGTCTAATGAATGGCGTTATCCTTCACCATAACAATTCCACATTTTGTCCAACCGACACTTAAAAACGTTGAATATTAAAAAAGCTGATCTTGCGGCAGCACCCGCCGTGTTCTCCTGGCTTGGAATGGCAAAAGATTGGTACTATGTAGGAAGTCATTAGCTACCCTGTAACAGTCCTTGAGATTAGATCACCTGCCTTTCGATGCAGCGATTCTATAAAATCGCCAATTCCTGCTCTACTCGCCAACCAAAGCGTTGGTGCCTCGCTCTGACTCAATGTCCATCAAAATCATGCAACTGGAAGGTGTTTAGATCCACACGTCAGTTCTGTGACTTTCTTGGAGTTATTCGGCGCTAACGCAACTCTTTTTAACGCTGTAATGGCCCCTACGGAATATTATGCCATAGTCCCCAAACGCGATCCAAGTGTTCAGTCGTCTGTTCTGCACGCCGCAATCGTGGGCGCTCGACAAGCAAGTTCCCTAATCTCTGGAAATCTGTTCGAAAACGCTTAAGTTTTGACTGGTGTCGTGGAAGAATTAATATACCGCGGAAGTATCGATTAGTCATGCCAAAGTCACTAATTCGGTCTGAAATCCCCTGCAACCATGTGTTTTCCCACGTCTTTTGTTACCTTGCGTTGCATTCGAAACGTCTGGGTGGTCTTGTTTGGCGCTTTTCATATGGTTATCTGTCTAGCACGTGATCCGCTAGTCCCTCTGTTGTTGTAGTGATTTTCGGGGAGTAAATTTCGCCATTATTTGCTAGTTTGTACAAATATAAGTTTATTCGCAAATCCAGTCAATAGCACGCCCGTGCCGCTAAAATAATGCGGTCCGGTCTGCGCGATCAACGAATGGAGTTTAGCAAGTAGGTTGGAAATTTGGATGCTTCATATTACTTGCCGCACATTCTGGGCCGTCAAAGCGGATACTAGCGGTGACGATGAAGCAAACGTTTAGGGCGAAAATTTTCGCAGGGGGGGGGCGTTTAGGCAAATTGAGCAAGCGATAGTGGAACATTTCTGGATTTATCATTCCTCAGCAGTAAAAATTTTCGTCGCCCCATAGAATGAAAGCCATTAATATCAGTTTTTTTGCCAAACGATAAACAAGCCTTGCAATATTGATAGATTATTAGTTGAGTTGGCATTTGTATGTCGCTAAACAATGTTAAATCTTTCTACCTGGCTGACTAGTGTGTTCTTACATGTTTTCCAGTGGTTTCATTCTAGCCAGTAATCTATGTACTTATAGTTTTATTTGGTGTAAATATGTAACGAAGGAACTGTTCAATAAAACGATGTATTGCGAAATTTTCAGGCTCAAACCTGTACAATTAAACCTCGACTAATTCCAGAACCTCCTTTTCCCACAAAAAAAGCATTCGCTAGAACAAAGCAAGGGGTCTAAGCTACTCTGCGTTTATTATTGCTTTTTGTCCAAAACAAATTAATGAAAAAATTATGCACAAACGTCAAAAGTGACAAGTATTTGTAAACGCTCATCATCATTCCCTGATTAGGAATTGACCCTAACGACGCCGACTTCCCTCGAAACTAAACGACTTGATGTCTCACGCGTCGTTTTGGATTGTGAGTACCGCCGTTGTTGACATTTCCACCGTGGCCGGTGTTGAAAGTGCGGCAATTCTGACGCGCTGGTTCGTTCATCTTAGTGGTTGTCTTGAAGGAAACCTGTAGTATGCGGTTATCGAGGTTAAAGCCACTGAGTGCTTGAATTGCCTTCACAGCCTCATCGTAATTACTCATTGTCACGAAACCGTAGCCCTTGCGCTTGCCTGTAATCGGGTCGGTGACAACTTTGGCCGCGTTGACGGCTCCGAACGGCCCAAAGAGTTGCCACAGCACGGCGTCTTCGGTGTCGGCACTGAGGTTGTACACAAAGATACACCATCCGTTGGTCGTTAATGCTCCGCCATTGGCTGCAAAGGCCGGAGCCAGCAGCGCCGAGACAGTCGATGAGAGCTCAGTTTCCCCACACAAATTTCCGCTCTGTTGGCACGTTGTTTGAACGTGACAGGAAGGCGCGTAGCCCACGGAGTAGGGTAGAGGAACCCCAGTGGCGATTACGCCTCGCTGTGGTGGCGATTGTTTGAATTTTGACAGAGGCACTGGGTGCTGAAAGTAGCCCCAATTCGGTAACCGACATAAACCCATTTGCGCTCCTTGCCACAAAGGCTGTTGAACTAAGCGGGGATTTCCAAGTGTTGGCTGTAGTGTGTACTCATTACCATAAATACCGACTTGTGGCATTGCCATGCCTTGGGTTGGCTGCATTGAGTAAAATGGCGCCAGACCATGGTGTCCGAAGTCGTAAAATTGCGGACCGTTTGGCTGGAACATGTTTGGAAGAGGCATTTGTGGCTTAGCTTGTAGAGATTCTAAGTCACCAGTATCGCAGTATTTCGACTGCCTCAGTTGCGGTACTTTCGAGGTCGATGGCGACTTCTTCCTACGTCGTTGACCAGACGATGTCGTGGTCGACCTTGACGAGAGAGACCTTCGACCGTCAGATTGCGAGCTGGGCAAATTGGCAAATTTTACCATCATTATGTCATTTGTTTCGGGAAAGATGTAGCCATTGAATTTCTTTATGGCATTTTCAGCTTCAGAGCGTTGGTCATACCGAATGAATGCGACTCCACGGGAGGCTGAGGTCTTCTTGTCGCATAGAATTCGAGTCGTAATTATGTGTCCGCATGACTTAAAGATATTTTCTAGTTCATTAGTTTTCATAGTTCGTGGTAAGCCACATATATAGAGGTTGGCCCCTTTGATTGCTTCACAACTAGGCCGAGCTACTGAAACCTTAATAGTTTTGTTCTCTAACTTCAAACCGTTGATTTTTTCAATCGCCTTCTCGGCATCGGCAGCGTCGTAATATTTTACAAATGCATAACCCAAACTTTCTCCGGTCAACTTCTCTCGAACTAGCTTACAGTTTTCAACCTCACCGATACTAGCAAATAGCGATCGTACGTCTTCTTGTGAAAGATTTTGTGGTAGGTAGTTTACAATGAGGTTCGTTTTATTTTCTGGATTTGACTCAGAGATGTGTGTGTGTGGAGTTGAGATTCCATCAGTTTCATCCGTGTAATCATTCAAGTCGTCAACTGATCCCAAGCTTGACGAGTTAATTGGACTTATAGATGCTCTTTTGTTTTCTTCTAAGTTTAAATCGCCTCCATCTCCAGCAGCTTGTGATTGCACACCCGAGCCCCATGTCTGGTCCGAAACTGTTTTTAGTCTACTGCAAAAGTCGTCACTATCCCCAGCATCTGGCAACTCTTGTGAAATGCCAGTTTTTTGCTTCGGATGCGTCGAATTCGATGTTGCCGAAGTCATACTATTCAGGAAAGACTACTTCGTCGATTTCACCTAAATGCGGTGGTTCGCTGTCAGTGGATCGTGTTGCAAGCACGCGCAGATGAGACAGCCGCGAGTTTAATCGATTTTCTGATTTTGAAGACAAAAATCAGCTGGCAGAAAGGAGTAGCCTTGCAGCCGCCTGATGGATGCGACAAAATTCATTGTCGCCAACGTCGTGGTTGCAAACCTAATTAAGGCGGGCGTAAATTACTTCTCACAGCACGAAGATGTCGAGGTATCTCACTTATCAGTTAAACCTGAAGAAAACCCTTCACCAGAATTGTATTCGCCACCTGTACCAGAACCCTCATGGTTTTTACCATACATCCTGGCTTTGCAAATCAGTGTATTTTGTCTTTTTTTCCAAACTCTCAGGAAATATGACCTACCTAGCAGCAGGGCACGCAAAGTTCTCATTGGGCTGATTTGGTCGGATTTATTATTTACCATAACCGATGTGCTTCATTTTACGCTCTATTCCAACTATGGAATTGACGTTTTCGGTCCTGTCTCGAACGGCTACTGCGAGGTATTTTCGTGCGCAATGGACATTTTGCAGCACCTGAGTGTTGGTCTTCACCTGTTTCTCTGTGGAGATGTTTCTGGAATGCTACCACCTTCCTTAAAATCGCCACTTTGCGTAGGTTTAATAGGCAGCTTGGTAGCCAATGCAATGTTTTCTACGATGTCCTATGAATACCCTGAAGGGGCAGCCAAGGCTCCTAGCTGCACGATCTATCGTAATCTCATTATTGACTCGAGTTATGCTCAAAGACTAAGCTCTTTGCACCTTCTTCCTTGCATTGGTCTTGCGGTTATTTTCATCCACCAAAGAGCTTCTAAGCTTATGCGAAGTGGACGCCAGGAAAAATTACCGAATGAGAAGGGTGATGAGGAGATGTACGTGCTAAATGTTAAGAAATTCACTCTGCGTACGATGATTTGTCACTACGCCATTAGCGCTCTATACTTCTTTATTACGATCGGAATAAAAATCAAGCACCCTAGACTGATAGAAGCTATCAGCCAGTTCGACACGCCGGAGAACATGCTGAGGAAGTTTGCTTACCTTCATCAGGTCGCAAACACTCTCTGTCTGTTTGCATGCCTTAATCTCGAAGCCACGAACTCGGAACAAGAGCTAATGGAAGAATTCGGTGATATTGACGACCTTAATCCCCAGCAACACCAATCCCACCAGCATCAACTTCCTGTCGATGGAGACGAAAGCGAACATGTCTGATTTTTGCCACATGGCTTTTTTTCTTGTAATAAGCGGAAGATTACTTTGCCAGAATTGAAAGTAAAGCCCCGCTTTCTTATTGCACCTGTGCACCTTGATCGAGCCGCAATCGCGCCAGGCATGAAGTCGAAAGCTTCATTCGATGCTGCACAACATTCCGGACTTTAGCGTAAGGGCTTAATAAGATGGTAATTCCATGGTAGTTGTGGATGAAACACACTTCTCACCTTTCACAGGACCTGATTTTGCGTGATTTGACGTGATTTTTGAATTTTATGAAAAATAACGTCATTCAAACAAACTTCGCCTAGATACTGTTAGAATGTGATGGTGCTAGTGCCTAACTTCATGCATGAACATAAGTTTACAGGACACCAGAGGTAGGTAGGATGATTTTTAAACTAAGGAGTTAAAGAATGAAACAATATGATTGCAGTAAATTTGTTTATAACCCGTAAATGATCAAACCCGCTATAGAAACTACATCATTTAAACAATCAGTCATAGCTGAAGACGGCAGTCCGGCAGCAATCGTAGAACGTGAATTAGCTTTTGTCGCTAGCTTGATGAATGAACATGACCAAATACAATCCCTGATCCACGCCAGTTTCTTATTGATCGCATGGTTGAATGACACGACATTTCTTGAAACAAAGTTTTAATAAATCTTTGTCAAATTCACAAGATCAGAGACCATAGTATCTTATGGGCACGTTGGTCGATAGACGTGAATGATTAAAAATAGCAGCAAGCATTGAAAATGCACATTTTGTATTTGCTTACTTAATTTAACTGCCTCAAAGTTAAACGCAGAGAGAACCATGTATGAATCGCTAATGCTTATTGCTCGATCCAATGCTGTCTGCAAACTATTTACTGACTTAAGGCATGTGAAGAAGCATCTAAACAAACGCCGCCATTAAGATGCCGCTGGTCATAATTGCATGAATTCTCTGAAGAATTCCCACGTCAGCAATAGATCAGGCTATGTGCTTTATAATTAGGCAACATGCTGCCTGAGGACAGTTTTCATTTGATCAAGAGTAGGGCACGCTTTTAAAACCACCACGCTAATTTCTAAATCGGGCAAATTGTTTGCCAGTTCGAACTACTTGTCGGAATAAAACGAAGTAGGTGATGAACTTATGTAATAACCGACCTCAGTTATATTTAACAGCACTCTGTTTAAGGAACTGAAGTGGGTGGTGACTCAATGTTCGAATTCCGTGTTCATTTAAAGGCTTGTACCATATGCTGAACGAAAACGCAAACTTGGGAGTGGGAATCGTCATGGACGACAGTATTTTCTAAACAATTATGGGCCCATGCACGCTTAAGACGCAAATGGACCGTGTCATCGAAAAGGCTGAACGATACGATTGCCAATTTCTTTGGATGTGAGGATCGCGAAAATTCAGCCCCAACTTCTTGGCATGGTTAAAATTTAATTGGTGACACACAACCTAGAAAACATTCTTTTAGGAAGAGTCGAAAATATTGGGACGCGATCTACATCAAATGAAAATGTTGATGGACGGTGGCTGTTAGCGGTTCGGACATAGGTTGTTTCAATCCAGTCTGCTTTGTCGTTCTAAGTTGATTATTGTGTTGTACCAATACGGTTAGTTAGGTAAGTTGTCGGTGATTTCTACATTCTGCATGACTTAATTATTCCAGTTCTTTCTCATCTTGCTTAAAACTGTAATCAAAATAGAAGTATTTTCGCAGTCCTCCGTGATTCTGGAAATATCGCACGCGAGGTTTCAGAGCACCAAACGGCAGGTCAACGTGAGTAACATAACATTTCAGAATAGCAGAGGTTATGACGCCAACTAATAAGCGACACATTCGTCGGTGAGCTTTATTAAATGGCAACCAGCAAAAAGCACTTCTAAAGCCCGGGAATCGAATTTGTACTAGTATTACCGACGCTGGGTCTCACAAAACGTAAACTTGTGGATAAAGCGGTTTTGCATGTGGTGATTAAGGGTTTTGTGAAGAGCCGTGTTTCGCAGAGTCTCAGAGGTTTAAATCTGCGCATTTATAGCCTCTAAGGTACAAAACGCCTGCTGTAACATAATTTTGAGTCAATAAATATGATTAAATATACAAAAGAGAGTTAGTTATGTATGAGAGAAAAAATGACATTTGAATTGATTTAGGTTTGCTTAAATTTATTTCAGGAGGCGAAGTGCATTTACATATCGTCTTGAGTCTAGCCCTAAGCAATGCAAAGCGCCAGATTATTGGACGGAATTCACATGTTTCTATTTAGAAAAGTATTATGTCGGACCTTCAGTGAAATATGGAGTAGAATAGAAAAAGAATTTCGGCGGTTATTTGGAATAACATAAGGCTTCTGAATCAGTTAAATTTGATACACACAAGAGGGTAAATTTACTGAATTGGTTCTATCTCAAAGATTAAGAATACCGTAAAATCTGTGAATGTAATGTGTGCAGGTAATATAAATGGGTAAAACGTATAGTTGTAATTTGATATTCTACAATGCAAAAAGTAATTTCAAAAAGCGTGAAGGAATAAATAGAATAAAAGATAGTCATTTATAATTTGTTTGCTTAATTTTTTTAAACGTTGCAAACTTTGTTTTAAGCTGCTGTAATCCGAGTTCGTTGTAAAGGGCGCGCATTCGAATTTAAATCAATAGTCAGACTCCATGGTCAGTTCGCCGAATCTGTGTATTCATGGAATAGAATGACTCTTCGGGGATACATAGCTGTTCTCAGACGTGATAGAAGTGCAGCATCTTTCTGTGATTGGCGTGTTGATACATGCGTGTTTGGAAGGTATGTCCTATGTATAAACTCTTATCCTTTAGTGACCCGGCGTGTGATGTCATAATCAAATTGAATTCTGTCAAGCCGTTCCACTGCAAGCTTCAATCCATACCAGATGGCCGTGCATTCATTGAAAATTTTGCTTTTTATCGTCCCGAAACTATTCTTAATGGTATACCGCTCTCTGGGAGGACGTTTATGCCTCACGACAGCTTGATTGGCATCGGTGGTCGAGAGTTTCGATTCTTTTACCCAAAAGATTCTCCCTGGATTCTCAAATCTGTACGTATTAATTGCGCGGTTTAGTTTTCATTCATGGTGCTCATTCAAACGTTGTCCTATTAATGTTGCATCACGAATTACTGATATCACCACTAGTGTACCAATTGTATTCAAGTCAGTTCTCTTGTGTAGTGAAGGCGGTAGTAGTGGGGGCACAATTAATGCACATGGGCGTTGCTGGTTGTTAGGTTCTCCTGAGGTTTGCACATTTCACTCAGTTCGGAGTCCAATGTTAGGTTCTCATCTATTTTTAAAGACAGCGAGTAATTTGTGTCCTTAAAATCAGCCGGTAATATTGGGATGGTAAATTCCTAGGTGACTATTTTGTAACCCAAACTTCAGTGTTTTTATTTAATTTACTAGTCTTAGTAGTGACCTGTCCTCTGTAATCAATGATGTTCTTCATTTTATGGTCACTCATGTGCTTTCTTTGCACATTTAGATGTGTTCAGATCAACAAGACGTTTCCCGATCCCCGTTGATTTCAGTAGATCCGCTACCAGTCATTGACGCGTCTTCATTTCCTGTTGTTAAAGCTGTAACCGCAAGACAATCCCCATTGCCAATCACGCGGTCGCAAAAAACCCCTACATTGTCGTCTCAGCGTAGAGGGCTATCAACTAAAGAGCGATATGGACCTACCCCACCTCGTCCTGTAACCCCGTCTCCACTTGTTCGGGTAAAACGACATTCTTCGGCAAACCGTGGGGTTTCGTCGAGAGTGCCCAACGTGTCTTACTCCCCACTCCAACCAAGACAAGCCAGGAAATTTGCAAATGTAAATGTTTTTTCAGAAACCCCGGCCGCTTCAGGTACTCAGTATATCAGACGTCTTCCCAGCACCCGATTTGCATCAAATTCAACACAGTCAAATAATTCGTCATCGTCTACATTCTTCTCTTTGGACGACGAGAATCTGGTTTGTTCTGAACAGCCTAGTTGTCAAGCGGACTCGATAGACAATTCGGATTTTAAGTCACGAGAAGCTACATTGAGTTTCGACGCAACTCCCAAGCCGATATCCTCGGTTTCACGTGATGCGAAGGTCGCGTTTACTGAGCCTAAAAGAACCCATGCAAACAATGATTCGTTTTGTATACGTCGAAAATCCCTATCACCACCAGCGTCCCCAAACTTCCCCCATTCTTACAGAAGTGCTTCCGAATATAATGCTGATCAGTCGTCGCCATCTAACAATGATGCTACTTCCCTTGCCACTGGCCGATCTCCAACTCCGTCCTTACGTCAGCACATGAAAGTTCCAGAGCATGGAATTTTGAAATCAAGTACAGAGAGTCGCAGTACCTCACAGCACGCAGTACCACAGAAAAGGGCTAGGAGTGCTTTAGCCGAACAGCGGGTTACCGGAAAATCTGTGAAATTTGGCCCGAAGCTTAGTCCGGAGCAGTTCGACCATCGGTTGCCGCCGTCAACACCAGTGAAACGCGGAGCCCTTCCACCCATCAGTAGTATCCAGAAGATTCGTGCATCAATTGCGAGTCAAAGAAGGTCGATGTCGCGGCGATCATCGCTAGCGGCAAAGGCGTATGGCGGCAGCTTCCTTAGCATTGAATCACCTACTTTTCCTCCTGTTTGTCATAATCGGTCGTCACTCGCTCAGATAGAAACTGTACAAGAGGAAGTCAGATCGTCTCGATCTGGTGGGAACACTGATTTGCCTACACCAACGCGGTTGTCTAGTAAGCGTCATTTATCAAGTTTTCTGGAACCTTCAAGCTCTACTAATGTTGATAACTTACAGAGCGTCTCGACTACTACTGCAACAGTGGGTAGTTCTTCAGCTTCGAAACGTTCTCGTATTTCAAGTCCTCAGTCGACGCCTGCTGGAACACGGGGTTCACTAGCCACCGATTTTGCAGATGCTGAGAACCTCCCGTGTACACCCACGCTTCCAAGTTATAGGCTCAGTCAAGCTTCCGGCGTTGATGAACATTCGATTGCGCAAACTACGGAGGTTTCGATTACGTCTCCCAATTCAGTGGGTAGTAGTTCGCACGTTACTCAAGAATCTGGGCAGTCATCGAACTCGTTTAGTCAAGCAATTTCAAGATCTGAGGAGCGGACATCAACAAGGCAGTCCAATTCTCCTACTTTGAAAGGTGCTGCGACTCCCATTTCGTCCGAATCATCACAGTCGAAGGTTTTGGGTCGCAATAAAGCAACCGAACGGAATTCCACTGGCTCCATCGGTGTTAGAAAGGTCGCACTCTCTAATGGCCGCAGGTCCCTTTATCGCATTGCATTGCAATTGCTTAGATCCAAGAACGCTAAAACAAATTGCATTTCTGCCAGCTCCGAGCAGGACGAAACGCCATCCTGTTTGGCCTCAGGTCGGGTCATTGTGCGTCCATCCCGCAGTGGCCGGCGACCCGCATCACTCGTATTAAGTGGAACTAATGCGGAAGTCGTGCGAACCCCCGCAAGAAAGTCACTATGCATTGCTGATTGCCAACGCTCCATTCGATCGGACTCGAGTAAGCCGAAGTCAAAGAATCTCGGCAAAGCTTCTACATCAAAGTCTCTCACACTGCCACTTCAACAAAATGCAGGTGGAGCTAAAATGCTAAGGACCCCGCCTGTTGTTCTTTCACCACGAATTACGGGTCTGAAAACCCCATCAAAAGCGTCAAGCTGTCGATCTTTGCTTAGACTCTCAGAGAAGATGTCTGCAAGTAGAAGTCCGAAGCTTCAAGTGTCGCCGGATCTTTTGGGAGTGGGTTTCTTGTTCGAGACGCCTAGATCTCTTCCTTCTCCAAGATTGTCCAGCCAAGGGGATCTAGTGAAAACGCCTTCATTAGTAAACACCCTAGTTCCCACCATTTGTAAAAGCGTGCAAATTTCGGCAGCCAGCAACTCGTTAGAAGAACACAAGCAGGTTGGGTCTCCCAGACTTTCCGGAATTATTGGTTTACTGTCGTCACCGGCTGCGCTTCCTCTGAAGAGGAGTTCTGCATCACATAAAGGAAGTGAGGATGCGACTGTTCTACCAGAAGCAGCCTCTCCTACGGTGGCGAAAACCCCAGCTAATACCACAAACGCGTCCGCGGTATCCAAGAGGAAGCGGGTATTGTCGTCAGTAGTGAAGAAGGATGATTTAGTTAGAAACCGCGGAGTCAAGAACGGAGTAGCCGGAAGTACATTGGTAAACGAGGCAGAAGTCAAGCCGTTGATCACCCGAAGGCGTGCTAGGAAACTCGCTGAGACTGAGACGGCTCCTATCGTTTCGTCAATCGTGACCAGGGGCCGACGCAGACGTGAGTTGTTTCCCACCACCGAGGCAGGTCAACACGAATCCACGAAACCTGCGCGATCTGCAAGACCTGGGGCAACTCGCAGCGCTCGATCAAAGGCCGCTGACGCCCGGATTCAAGAGTCATCTGCTACAACATCGTCGAAGCACAATCGCGTCGCTAATTCAGCCAGAGGTAGAGCGGCCACGGCTACATCAAAGACTTCCGCAAAGAAGTCCCACGTTGTGACCACCAGACAAACGCGACGGGCAGTTTCTCGTGCCGGTGGGACGTCGGCACTTGTCATCTCTCCAAAGAAAGAATTGAATAATGAGTCCCCTTCTCAAGGTACTAAAGTCAACAGAGGCAAACGGAAAGTGCCTACGGTGGCCAACGGCGAGAAGGAAGACATTGTGGTTTCTAGTCGATCTAAAAAGCGCGTAACAGCTGGTGTTAAGGCGTTGAGGCGAAGTCACTCTCCCGAGGAACTTTCGTCTTCTGTGGAAAATAATCACGGGAAGAAGAGATCAAGAGTTGTATCAACGAAAGCTTTGGTGGAGCCATCTACGAGGCGGACTCGTTCTACCGTTGCCAAGTCGTCCACAAAGGTAGACGACGTGGTACTCGCTGATTCGGTCGTCCCTACGAGTTCTGCCGTGAAAAGAAATCGTGGAGCACGGTCGAAAGTGGCAATAAAGGCGTCGCCGGTCAAAAACACATCCTCCAAGGTGACGGTGGCGTCAAAAAGACCCAGACAAGTGCGAGGCGCGACTACCAGGCCAGTGGTGAAGAAGAACTCGCCTGAAAGTACCCGTAGAAAGGCGGCAGTGGCGGTGGCGGATAAATCGACCCAAAGAACTCGCTCTAGAAAGTAGTGTGTGTTGTCCCCAGTTTTTATTGTACATTATTTTTACGGAAAAGTTGTACCATATTAATCCCTCGTGCTCTGGAGCTCTAAACTAAGGACTCTTCGTATATGTCCCCTAAGCTTGCTGTTGAGTATTTTACTATATTTTTAGATGTTGACAAACGTTGTTCCTTGTTTTGTATTTTTTTGTTCCTGAGCTTGGTGGTGTCATGTTAGTCAGTGCGCATCGGTCTTAGCGTGTTGTTTTTGGGGCGTAAGTTTGACCGTAGTGGGTAGCGTTTACCCGGAGACTGGACTCCGCCACACAGCACACGTTGTAGTGAGTACCGTCGTGGTGAGAGTAGTTGCATCGCCAAAAGCAGCGACCGCGTCTGTGGGGCATTCAGATTGGGTCCGTCACCAGATAACTGGTGTCCTTTTGTGGGATGGAAAGCTTTTTTGCCGAATGTTGTGCAGTTGGTATGTGCTTGGTATCTAACGCTTGCGATGTTGCCTTACCGAGGGCAGGTCGTCTTACGATGCTTCTTGTAAAATTTTGCCGCGTGCCATTTCCTCTTGGGTCTAATAAATGTTCTACTTGTCCAATGGAAGTACGCGTGTAACTGTACCGTTGACCGAAGGCTTGGATTAGAGATTTAAGTTACAATGCTTCTCTAAACAGTGCGGTCTTGCGAATAGGGAAGTTGCGCCAATGAGTTGCAGTGACATGGTCAATGCTGGGAGAATCTCCTCGAGGTGCATTTGATGGTTTGCAATGTGTGTTGCCACTGGCGATGGCTCGGTGTTTGCACAAGCTCCTGGATTGGGGGTTAGCTGTTTCATTGTCATTACGAAGGATAACGGTCAAGGTTCTCCAGACACTAGGGTTGCGGAGGCTGATTTTAGTGGTCGTGTCGATGTTGCGTTGCTGATCCTGAAGAGGTACCAACGACATACATTAAACCGGCTACGCTCTAAAGCGTGCAGTGGCCTAATGTTGGTGATCGTTGGGTTCAAACGCTATGTGGCAACACGGCCGCTCTTGTTTCTGTATTCATACTCAACACTGAATAAACCGTTAAAATGCTTGTCTGAGAGCAGGCAGTACCGTCATGAAATTAGTTTAACACAAATCGCGAATATCCCAAGCTTAATGCATCACACGCGTCCCTCGTCAAAGCGTGCTTTAGCTGTCGTTCTAAATTGCGTGCATCAAAAACCGGTTTAATGGCCGCTAGAACGTGCCAGAGTGAAAAAACATTCGTTTTCGTCACCTGTGCTGGCGTTAGCGGGGTTCAAAGGTTAACGGTTAACTCTGGTGTAGCATTGTCACATTTACAAACGTCAAACAGCGAATGACCCATTAAAATGCCGATAGCAATGATGGAACAATTTTTTTCTTAACAACGCACACGAAACAGTTCAGGCTGTTTGATGCCGCGTTGAAGCATGACACGCTCACACACGTTCTTCGTCAATACATGCGCTGCACTTGCCATACTAGGCTGCACTAGAAGCGAATTCGCTGGCCCAAAATGAAAAATGGAACATTCGTTCTTTTAGATTGCTCCTTAACGTTTTCTTTAAGCTCCCAATCTGTCCTAATTTGCCTTACCATGAGTTGGAGGGGCCGCAGCTACATGATTGGTCTGCCTCTACCAATCAGAAGGCAGAAAAGTGCGCTTGAAACGAGCACAAAATGTTTGCCCACCAAACGCACGACCGTGGAAGCCTGCATGTTACGTTATTTCAACTGACTAATATTCGATCGTGGCGCAGTAAAAGCCAAGAAAGGCGTTTTTTTAATTCTTGTCTCCCTCCTTCTCGTTATTGTTTAAATTCTACTTCGAATGGCGTCCACTGAAATTCCCAGCACCCTTTTGTAGGCATAAATCAAATCCCATCGCCACAGTGGCGACAATTGGGAATATATTTTTTTATGTTTCACGAGGCAAGAGGGAGGTTAATTGAGTAGTGAGAAACAGTCAGTTTGGAAAACGCGAATTTCGGGCGTATTCTGGAAACCATTAAGCGGCAAAAATTGCCTTAAAATCCTCTCGTGTAGTCTAACTTGTTCGTGGTTGGACATTTGTAATGACCTTCCTAAAACGCCTCAAGCCGTTGCTTAAAATTCCAGAATTAAATCTGGGAATTTTGGCTGTTCGTCCACCTTTTCAATCATCTGAGTATCAAATTTTAAGAAAAGTTCGTTTAGAGACTGGATTGAAAGCTTGTTTTTTGTGCGGTAAACTCCTCTCCGTGACTTCTGCGTGAATGCGATAAACTTTGACAAATCAATGAGCTTCTTCCACTCTCCCAGGCAACAGTCTCCACACTGCGTCTTTTTTTTCTTAATTTTCCAGTTAGATTAGCGGTGTTTTACGCAAATTAGCGAGAGCCTCCTGCTGACAACAGCATTCCAAACTATCAGATAGGAGATCCAGTGCCCTCCACCCCTCCTGCGCTGGATTGTTTCCGACTCGTTTCCCTGCTTGCGTTGGTGGATGTTGAGACAAAAGTCTTTTTTTCTCAACAAACTATTTGGACAGTGGGCAAGCTAATTTGCCCACTAAGAAACCAATATGTTGCCTGGTGCAGTCGAAGTAATCAAAACAGAGCAACGCTATGACGCAAGTGACCAGTCACCTGGCCCAATATACTTTGCTGTTTATTTATGCACCAACTTGGCCAAGAGCGCGGGTCAATGAATACACTTGATGGCGATGTGACATTGCTGTTTGCGTGGGCGTATCTAATTGTGGGAATGGTATGTGCGCCAATTGGCCGAAATTGGTGCATTGGGCTCGTCTACTCCAGCCTTATTTTTCGCCATTTTGTGTCAATACTTCTTCTTCTTCTTCTTCTTACTTAAAAAAATCTAATCCAAAGTCAGCAGCCAGGCTGGTTGTCTGCGCAGACGTCTGGCTATTAGTTCAGAATGTGTGAGCGAAGGTCAGACGTGGTTGCCACGGTGACTGGAAGTCGATCTGCTCTGTGACAGCGTTTGCCAACACCGAGTAAGATCGGGGAAACCAGACACCGATGAGCCCCAACTTTTCAAGGCTGCCTTTCTACTCAGCATTAATTAGCCTTTGGAAAGAGATATAATGGGCGGTCGACAATCTGGCAAAGAGAGGGAAAGCGTGCAGTCTTATATCGACAACTCCAAATAATTGGTCACGCACGTTCAATTGCGATTACTTCCTGGCTTGTTTTGGTTATGATAGCAAGGAGGTGTTGACCTGGAGCTAATTCAGCTTCATCCCATCCAAATCCGTAAAAAACTGCGTCGTTGATATCGCAGCATACTCCCCCTGGCTGTCACCCTCGGTTATTGAGATCGGCGGTAATCCTTATCCATCTCCTAAACTATTGTGTCTTCGTTCAAAGGGTTTACGGGGTTTTGACGCCTCAAATCTCCAGGTTTGAATCCCATTCAAATGCGTTTAATATTTAGCGCGTCGAGTAATCCTGTAACAGAATGTTTTAAGTAATGATGGGAACTAAATCTTAATAAAGTGTGACAACCTTCAAATTCTTGACAATTTGAGAGCATGTAACCCACGTTGAAGCTGTCAGCTGAAACAGGGTTTTCACTGGATCAATGAACGTCGGCTGATCTCAACTCTCAGTTGAGAATTTAGCGGATGGATAAAATTGGGAGAAGTGTGGTGATTTTTTGACAATGACAACTCATCACCACAACCGTCAGCCAGACCAATGTAATGATTGACAGTGACTGTTATCATGCTATACGTGTCTTTTGGCACCTATGTACTTTTAACGATTGGCCAATGTAACCGGCGCTAGGCAGATGTACCATGATGTTTTTTTGTGGTTGGTTAGTGTTTAAGCTCGACCAATTTGGCTCATTTTCCCTTAATCAGAGAATTATGCCATCCTCCTTTAAGCCGGTAACATGGGACAATGGGATATGCTAACACATATAGCAATGAGCCTTTTTTATCATAAACGTTTAGGGAGGTAATTGGACAAATTCGATCTCTAATTATCGGTTCAGATGTCAAATTGACTAATTGGTGACAGCCTCGTCAGAAATTGTGGTCGCGACTAACTGTCATTTCTAATTAACCGTGATTACGCAAGTCGCACCCTCATTTTAACCCCTCGTAATTATCACCAGGCTTTCCAAGCAAATATATTTTTGGTCAAAATCTGCTGTTTCATTATCTTACTACAAGTGATAATCTTTTTTTAAACGAATTCACAGTACTCGTGCATGCTGCAATCAGTCTTCTGTTTGGTTTCCTGTTCGCTATCGTGTCAAGACTTACAGGAGAATTTTTTTGTAATATTTGACAGTGTCCAAACCAACAATCGTCTCCAGTAAAACCCATAGGCGGATTTTCATCGAGGCAAACGAACAGGGCGGGAAACGCTTTCTGGTTGTATTGGAAGGAGTGGGAGTATGCAGGCCTGAGTCATTACGGTCATATGTGCCATGAAATGAGGGGCTTTATCTGATAAATAAGTTCATTCGTTGTTCTTACGCTTTTACACTCAGCCATGAAACAGAGCATGTGACCTTGAACATTTTAACTCAAGGATTGCTCATTCTTACTGGAAAATTTTAATTCGCGTGTTCCCCTATTTTGCCGGATGTCTGATGAAAGACATTGATGACGTGTTTCAGGCCATTATTATCAGCTGCTTTTCATGATTGGCCAGATAGATTGCTCTGTATTCAAATACCAACCAATCAAATAATCCCTTCAAGCAATTTACTTCAAGGAAACAGGAAAGTGATAAAAGCGGGGATATCTCATTATGTATCTATATTAGCTACCTAAGTCGTGTTCTACACATTTTGAGCACTAACAATTCAGTTCGTGATCAATTTTCGCATTCCAATCTTAGAAAGAGACGGCATAATTCGTCCATTGCGGAGTTTAGTAAAACCAAATTTTTAATGTCATCATTTGTGCAATGGCACATTTGACAAGCTACTGGTTAATTTAAATGAATTCACTTTGGTCTATCTTGCACCTACAATTAATAGTTTATAAT